AAATCTTTGTGAGAGTAAAATTCTAGATCTTAAGATTTTGTCTAGCTGTAAAAAATGTTGATAATATGCGAAAGATATAAACGAGGTCTATAATGAGTCTAAGAAAAAATTTTAATGCTAAAAAATTTAGCTTTTAATGATTTATATAATAATTAGATACTAGAAAAGCGAAAAAATATATGTATAAGGTAGCTAAACATCGAGATGGAGATATTAAGGATTTAGTTCAAGTGAAGTTGTATAAGGATAGATCAAAAAGCTTTTTATGAGAAAAGATATTTAACAAAGGTTGATGAGATATTTTGCTAAACTTTCAATGATGTTTATGAGAATGTGATTAATTTTAGTAGCCTTATCACCCTAAATGGATAAATGAAAATAAAGATTTTTGTTTTTATCTGCATATTAGTAAAACCAATGTTAAAGAGGCTTTAAAGAAAATGAAGTTTGAAAAAGCTGTTGGACCTGATGATATTCCAAAAGATATGTGGAAATTCTTAGGAGATGAAGGAATTTCTTGTCTTACTAAACTTTATACTATTATTTTGAAGGCTAAAAAGATGTCAGATTAGTAGATAATGAGTGTGTTGATTCATATTTTTAAGAATAAAGGTGATGCACAAGATTGTGCAAATTATAGAGGAACTAAGTTAATGTGTCATACTTTTAAACAATAGGAGAGAGTTATGGAGCATAGGTTGCGGCGTGACACAATGTTTCTCTCAAAATCAATTTGGATTCATGCCAGGTAGGTCTACTATGGAAGTTATACATTTATTGAGAGGTTTGATGGAGAAGTATAAAGAGAATAAGGAGGATCTACAGATGATTTTTATTGATTTACAGAAAGAATATGATAAAGTTCCAAGACATGTGCTATGGAGAGTTCTACATAAGAAAGGGGTTAATAATGTGTATTTTCAAGTCGTTAAGGATATGTACGCAGGAGCTGTTACTTGTGTTTAAACACAAGGTATTTTGATCAAGTATTTTTCTGTTTCAGTTGGATTACGTCAAGGATCAGCCTTAAGTCCATATCTTTTTGTTTATGGATGTTCTAACTAAACATTTGCAAGAGGTTTTACCCTGGTGTATGCTTTTGGCGGATGATATTCTTCTTATTGATAAGACTAGAGAGGGAGTTGAAAGTATGGAGGTTAACCTTAGAGTCTAAAGCCTTTCGTTTGAGTAGATCTATAATTGAATATATGGAGTATAATTTTAGTAATAATAGACTAGTGAGGGGATTGTAACTATGGGTGATCAAGTCATTAATAAGAGTACACTTTTTATATATTTGGGGTCCATTGTTCAGAGTGATGGTGACATAGAGTGAGATATTATTAGTAGAATTCAAGTTGGATGGTTGAATTGGAGGAATGCATCGGGCTTGTTGTGTGATAGAAAAGTCCCTCTAAAACTTAAGGGAAAATTCTATAAGATGTTAGTGAGACCTGCAAGTCGTTAAGGATATGTATGCAAGAGCTATTACTTGTGTTTAAACACAAGGTGGTTTGATCAAGTATTTTTCTATTTTAGTTGGATTACATCAAGGATCAGCCTTAAGTCCATATCTTTTTGCTTTAGTCATGGATGTTCTAACTAGACATTTGGAAGAGGTTTTACCCTGGTGTATGCTTTTGGTGGATGATATTCTTCTTATTGATAAGACTAGAGAGGGAGTTGAAAGTATGGAGGTTAACATTAGAGTCTAAAGCCTTTCGTTTGAGTAGATCTATAATTGAATATATGGAGTGTAATTTTAATAATAATAGACTAGTGAGGGGATTGTAACTTTGGGTGATCAAGTCATTAATAAGAGTACACTTTTTAGATATTTGGGTCCATTGTTCAGAGTGATGGTGACATAGATTGAGATATTATTTATAGACTTCAAGTTTGATGGTTGAAGTAGAGGAATTCATCGGGCTTGTTGTGTGATAGAAAGTCCCTCTAAAACTTAAGGGAAAATTCTATAAGATGTTAGTGAGACCTGCAATGCTCTAAGGTGCAGAATGTTGGACATTATAAGTGAAGCATAATATTAAGTTAGGTGTTGCAGAGATGAGGATGCACAGGTGGATGAGTAGTTTTACACTTAGAGACAAGACTCAAAAATGGGCATATACGTGCAAAGTTTGGAGTAGCTCCTGTGGAAGATAAAGATTAGAGAGAGTTGCCTTATATGGTTTGGTAATATAAAACGGCGGCCTTCCGATAACCCGGTTAGGAAGGTAGATATATTAGATTTGACTTATGTTAAGAAAGATAGAGGTAAACCTAAAAATCCTTGGTTAGAAAATATTAGAAATAACCTTTCTTTATTGGGTTTAGACGAGAATTTGGCTTTTAACATGACACAAAAGAGAAAAAGGATTCAGGTAGCCGACCCCACAGTGCGATAAAGGCTAGTTGTTGTTGTTGTTGTTGCATCAATCTATTAGAGTAAAAATCTAGTGGTATATATTTTGTAGTTTATAATTAAATAAGCAACCCAAAACCAACTTTCTGATTGGTTAAAATTAACAAGAATGAATAACCTAACACTTATATTGAATTAACTATTTTCTGCCATTAACTGGTTTACAGGTACTTGCTAATGGTTAACAAATAACTATAAAGGCCTTTACAAAGGCACATAAAGTTTAATGCATTAATAAATAAATTCATACACTGGAGGTATTACTACTTCGTGGAAGAAGCGCAAAGCTTAGCATATACCTGCTAACTTTATGAAAAACTGTTTACCTTAAAATGATCCTGCAAAGTGTCAAAATTAAAATTTTAGCGAGCTAGGAGGAAGACAAAGGGTTCTTTGCATATATTTTATATCATTCATAATTGACCACACTTTACATGACTTTAACTTTTTTTATGGGTTGAAGTGATGTTACCGGATGATTTTGTTTTTAACTTTTTGTCTTCCTCATCAAGTTTCATTCTCGTGCTTTGCTGTGTTGCTATCCGTCTGTCTTTGTACATTTTTTCTTGTAGCTCCATTCTCTCAACTATTTATCTATCCTCGATTAATCTATTTTATTTGATTAATATTATTGGTTTGAGGTATGTGCCTTCGTTCAATCAAGCTGTGTCTAAAACATTTTATTGCTGCAATTTGGTTTGGATTTCACAAACCCTTGTAATGTGACTGTTTTGCTCTTATTCAGGAAGCACGTGCATATGCTGATGAAAATGGCCTTTTCTTCATGGAAACATCTGCCAAAACAGCTGTCAATGTGAATGATATATTCTATGAAATAGGTATGAATTTTAATTCACTTTCAATGTTAATTATAAAGGACTATGGTCTCTTATTGACATTTAGTTGGATCATAAAAAATAGCGGCAAATGAATATTCATTGTAATTTGCAATGAGTGTTAACCTTTTTATAATCACTTCCAAACTGTTTAGCACATTATGTTAGACATTTATCTTGGTGTGAAGATAGATAAAAAGAATACTATATATGTAGATATTTTTCCCACACTGGAGGTGACAAAGTTCACACTAGGAATTATCTTGCTCAAGTGTGAGAGGGGTTTGTTTTTTCTTTTTTTTGAATTATCTAGTGGAATTGAATTTGTTGTGCGCTATATTGGTTGGCCTTTATATATTTCACATCTTTTTTATTTTTGTTGGTGTTTTTGATCATACCGTGCCTATGTAGTTCATTTGAACATCATATATTGTTCCTATAAAATCCGTGAAACTAGATCTGACTATTCAATTGGAAAGTTAGGAGTTCAAATTTGCATGCATGCATAAGCTCTGGTCATGTAACTATTGAAATCATAAGATGAATCTTAAATTTAAACTCATGCTTTGTAGTGGCTTCATTTGGCTTTTTGGAATGGAAGGAGTTCTAGAAGAGAACATGTTTACTTGTGTAAAGGTGAGTGAATGAGATGTTGTCTCACACTTCGAAGGAAGTTGCTATATACTAGTTATAGCATTAGTGCCTTATCAGCAAAATAAACTTAAAAGTTGAGTGTCAAGTTACTATTTGTTAACCGTTACTTATTGGTTCAGGTATTGGTTGTTTGGGGTACTTTTCGTATGTTAATAGTTCTCATTTAGAGTTAGTTACAGTTCATTCTCTCATTCTTAATTGCCTCCATTTTTAATTCTTCCTCAACTATCCTCCTTAATTTGTTCTCTCCTTTCTCTCTTTGCCCTTCTTTCAGCACTTAATTTTTACATGCAACCATCTTCTATTACCTTACATGCTTTTATGGTAGTGGTCGGGATTGTTGCGGATGAGAAGAGGTGGGAACTGGGAAGTGCAATGGCCTTCCTTTATTCTTTGTATGTTCAACTCCCTCCCTCCATGCTGCTTCCCTTTGAAGCATCACAAACATCCAGCTATCCCTCTCTCCTTGGTCTTTCTTACAAAGATTCGTCTCTCTATCTCTATACCCACCCCAACTCAATGTAAATGATAGTGGTCTCATTGATTCTATTAATGGAGTACCTAAAATTTACTATTTATTTTTTTTTAAGCTAGTGGACCCTCCATATTATTTTAAATGTCCGGGAAATTTTGTCCTATCCAAGTGGTGGACCATGTCATAGCCACTTAATAGTAAAATGTTAATACTGGCCCCTAGGGTCACATGTTAGGATTGGAAACTAAGGAGGTGAATAGATTTAGGGTTGTGCTATGGATGCCTAATAACTTTAATTTAAAGATTAACTATTAAATTGTGAACATAATAAAACCAATGGATTTATGTGTTCATGAAGTCGTTTAATAATATAGTGTGCGGTGGATGATTCTAAATTAGGGAACATTTTGTTTTTATAATTTTCTTATTGTTTTGCTTTTGTTGTATCATCAACATGAAGTGGAGCATTTTATCTTCTCCTTTTTGTTTTTGTATGACATGTATGAGCGATGGATCTGAAAGCATTCATGGGCTCATGGTGATTTTTTTTTCCTTCATCATTCTTTTGGAGTATTGAGAAATGGCTGCAAAGTAGTATAAAGGTTCAAGGATAGACTGTGGTAGGGTTCAAAAAATTTCCCCCACATGTTGATGAGATTAACTGAGGTTTATTTTAATTTCAAAGGATTAAATTTTATATGTGATATGATTTAAATATAGGTGTATAAATAAAAGAATGGACGGGAATGTTTGTTCATCTTGATTGAAATGCTGTAGTTTTTTATCACGAGTCAACATAGTGGGCCCAACTACAAATGATGAAGGACTACGTGATGCAACACCATCACGTGTTCATGCCTGAGACTAGCTCAAATCACAGAATGACATCAAGATTTAGGAGCATCATCATCATCAACAACAACAACACATGTTGCAAATCATTGGATTGATGCAACACCATCACATGTTCATGTATGAGACTATCTCCCACCTTTTCTAAAATCCTCTTAACCCATACTAACTCACTTTCCCCTCTTGGATAAATCATTAACTTCACATAAAACCAACCTAAGTCACTCCATCCCATTCCACAAAGTTCACCAATAACATCTAATCTATTACCAAGCTTCAATGTATTTTCACTTCTCAAGATTTTCTTCAAGTTTTAATTTTCAGGAGGTTGTATTATCTATGGAGTTTGATTAGCATGAGTTGCCTTAAATATCCTTTGTAGATAGCGGTGATGGTATACCAAAGGGCATCATCCTCTTGCAATGAGGTCTAGAGATTCAAAACTAACTTGAATTAACTATACAATAATACTTGATAGTTTTTCATAGGTGTTAACAATTAACCACCCGAGGATTCAATACACTAGGCTTGATCAATTCATATTGAGTTTGGCTTGGAGGAACATAATGTAATTGTGTGCAGCTGAGGTCTTAGCATTGTCTTTTGCTTAGATAAACATGGACAATTTGATGATCCATTCTAAACCCACCTTAAGAGACAAATGCCCTAAAGCGTGCACATGTAAATTGAATGAGTGTGAAACACCCTTTAAGGTTCTTACCCATGTCAAACATGACTTAGAGGCGATCCTCAAGGTTCCATCAATTACTACTGAGGTTAGCATCTACTTGGTAGAGGATTTATTGTTGTTCTACAAGCTCACTTGAGTAGGGATCCTTGAGTTAGCAATGCATTTTGGGCTGGAGCTTGACCAACTCAAAGAGGTGACTTTGGCATGTTAGATATGTGGTTATCTACTTTAGTGATGATATGGTTTTCTCTAGCAAAAAAATTCCTAATGTTGGGAAAAGATAGGGCTTATATTTGAAGCAAAGCATGTGGGGAGGAAAGTTTTGTTTTAGCAAGCATGTGGCTTGATGCCAACTCGCTTAACCAATTTGGGGTTTGCAACTCTACTTTTAGGGATGCTCAGAAAGATGCATTGAATCTTACTTATCTATTATTTGAGAGAATCGAAGGATGTGAAGCTTATAACTTTATTGTTAAAAAGGAGATTATGCATACTTGTGTTAGGGGCTTATGCGAGATATCCTCTGCCTTATGATGATGATGAGATTTATAGCTCCAATGACTAAACTTATTGTCTTGATATTTATGAGCATACATTTGATAATATGGATCATCATTAAATGAAGAAAAAGTTATGATAATATGCAAGATGCAAATATGTAATTAATGAAACATATATGTCATCAATGTAAAACTTTTGTTGTCAATGAAGGCAAACTATTAACATTATCGAACTCTTACTGCTTGTATTATAGTTTAACCAATTATCAATTAATTCCTAGTTGACCAAGTTTTAAATCATATAAGTGGGATATAAGTTGAATTTCATTTAAGATTGTGCAATCATACAAATATGAAGTTTATCCTAATCAATAGGAAAGTTCATATGCCTTGATTTGCTCAACATAATTGAAATAAAATACGTCTTTGATATTCGATTATAGGTCTTGAATGAGTGAGGAGATTATTTCTCCTTGAATAAAATGTGTTTATTCTTGGAGTAGATGGAGATGATCCGATGATATGTTGTTGAAGTTGCAAGTCACTGGAGATGATTGACAATGAAGAAGCAAGCAAGCATGCAATCTTGGTTTTCCCTTGATGAGGCCAGTCAAGGAGGCTATAGATGGAGTGGTCCGCTCTTATGTGTTGAAGGACTTGTCTCTTGTTTCTCTCTTTTGGAGAAGGAATCTCCTTAATTTGGGGAAAGGGAAAGGAAGTGAATCAATTAAATATAGCAAGTTGATTTATGGAAGGGATTTGATGATTGATTTTGTTTTGTTGAATTTGTTAGGGGATTTGGGTGAGAATGAGAAAAGGATTTAGAGGGGGATTTGATGGATATATCTGATAGCCAATTAGAAAAAATATCATGTTTTTAATTTTATTTAGGGATCATGACTCCAAAATTTTTCTAATTTGTAAGGGACTGTTTGGACATGTTTGGAATGTGGGTGACAGAGAGAAGTGTAAATGAAGCAACAACAAGGATTAAAGAAAGGGAACTAACAGGATAGATTGAAGTAATAATATAAAGTAAATAATTTATTGGTTAGTGTGAAGAGCTTATTAGATAAAGAAAAGAAGCTCATACACTTAGCATGAACATTTCCTCTTGTGCTTGGCCTTTGAATACTGGCATGTAGTCACCATCTCGTAATGATGAAGGCATAGGTGACCAAATAATGAAAGAACTCATGTTTTGATTCATCTTTCATCAATTATAAAGAGGGAGTTAAAATGGGATAAGGTATACCTGAAAAACCTACTTGATATGAGAAAATTCAGCTTTGATAACAAGTGATGAGAACTATGAATGGTTTAATACTGAATAATGCGGATAATAAACTCTCTAATATTGATTGTAGATGATGTGTACTTTCAATTGACATGATTGATATTAAGGGAATGATGGCTTATATTAAAAGAGTTTCAAAGACGGGAAGGTGAAGAAAAAGCCATCCAAGAGAGATTCAGGCCTAGATGGAGGGAGAGGGCGAGAAGAAAATAAAAAAGAGATAAAGAGAGAAAGTGATAGGGTGACGAACCACTCCTAAGGACGGGGGATTTGGAGATGCTTGCAGTTTACTTTGTGTTCATATCACTGCTTCTATGTATAAAGATGGTTTAATATCTAAGAAAAAAAAAGAAAATAAAGATAGCAAAAGAAATAAAGATAAATAATATTAAAGCTTTCATAAAAGACAAGTCTTTTATGTAGGAATCCTATTAATAAAGTAACTCTTATTATACATTTATTAAGTAACAAATCTAATAAAGGCAAGTGATGATCACTCCAAGTAAGATGGTTGATGAAAGGTTGCATCTTTAT